TCTGTGAAGCATCCACAGACTCCTTAAAACCTCTCCATCCTGAGTCATCCCACTTGCTGTGACCATATCATAGAAGTCCCATGTATTTGGAGAAATATGGGCTCTAGATCCTGAAATTTGCCATGCTTGGATTCTTGGGATGTGTTGCAAAAGTACTTGAATTCATTCCTTCATTTACTTAATCATTATGCATATTTTATTTTCAATGGTGAAATCAAAATATAATAAAACATGTATAAAAGTATTTTAAGAGATAAGTAAAATCTGGGGGCATGGGGATAGCACACCTGTATATACATTAATCTCCCTCGTTAACTAACTTCTGTTTTATCCGTGTGGTTTCAATGTTTCTGATGGGCTCTGTAACCAGTTCGTCAGCTCATGGAGAGCATGGCCCCTCTGCTGGGGTATTCTGTCACGGTGAGGCCAGGTTCTAAAGCAGTGTGACACTGCACCTAAGGCTTCTCCGATTGTTGTTCATTTGCATGGAGAATTCTTTGCAGAACTGTTCATAACTTAGGTTTGATTCAGTTGAAGAAAAGTGCATATCCACTTATCCAATCTAGGTACTACAAGAATTGCATGTTAAGTTTGTGTGAGAGTGCATTAACAAATAATGGATTGTTTTTTTAAAGTGCTGAAAATTAAATGCTGGATAAAAATGGATTTCATGTTTCTTCTGTCAAACGTTCTTCATTTATTTGGCATGTTGACTTAACCAAAGGATTTTAAGGAAAACAGATTAACATAACACAGGAACTGAAAAAGTGCTTAAATTAAGTGTGCAACTCACATATTTGCAAAATGAGCACAGCCTTACAATGAGCTCCACGTTCTAAGGATAGAACATTGCCGACTCCTCACCGAAGCCTTCACGCAGCAACTCAGGATCCTGATTTACAACCCTAAAATGAGACCTGCTTGTTTTAAAGCTTCACATACCGATCTTCATTTTTATTTTAAAAAAGAACCATTTGATTAAATAAGATAAACTTCAGGCCTAAGTAATGTGTTTTACAAAGTTTTTATCTGATTACCAAAGAAATGTTTTTTTTTTGTTGTTGGTTTTTTGGGGTTTTTTTTTTTTTTGGTCCTGGGGATCGAACTAGGGTCTTTGCACTTGCAAGGCAGGCGGCAGAACCACTGAGCTAAATCCCTAGTGGGATTTCTTTGATTCATAATTTGCCGGGAAAAAAAGGGAGATCATTCGGAGTAATAACTGTTGGAGGTTATGTGTGTGTGTGTGTGACATTTTTTCTTATATACCTACACATACTACATACATAGTTTTTTCTAATGGCAGAGATTAAGTTTTTCTTCAATTTTATACTCAGTATCCTGAATTTTAGTGCACACCCCTTTTAAATTGCACATTTTTTCGCACTGTTAGTTGATTAACATCTTCCTTTGCAATAGAATAAGCTCTCCCGGGTAACAGTCAGGCTCTCTATCATGATCTTAATGACTAGGACAGTACTTGCATGTTAAATATTTGTTGAAAGAAAAATAACAAAATGGATATGCATACTGTTTAGCTCTGATTTTTTTTAAAAAACATAATTTGTGTTTTAACATAACACAGACTGAAAAAGCACTTAAATTGTGAAGTGTACAATTCATATTTTGGCAAAATGAGCAGAGTCTTACAATGAGTTCCCTGTTCAAAGAAAAGAACATTGCCAGCTCCTTGCCAAACCCTTCGTGTAGCTACAGCTGCATGAAGTTGGCTTTCTGTGACAGCAGAGCTGTACTGTCAACTCGATTGGCCCGGGAGCAGCCACAGGACTAGGAGAAACACACTTCTGGGTGTGTCTGGGTGGGCTGATGGAATAGCCTTGGGTTCTTTATCTGGTTCCCTGCCTCTTCCTCGCTGGCATTGCTCCCCTGCTCCGCTTCCCAGCAGCCGTGAACTAAACACCTTTGCTCAGCCCTGCCCTCCACCATGTAGCCAGCTGACACTGGACTGAATCTCCTGAAACCGTGAGCCAGTTCAGCCTCTCCTCCTTTAAGTTGTATCAGATGTTATGTCCCAGTAACAGGAAAGCTGAGTAATATACTGTCATTTATGCCAGTAAATTCAGCTTGCTGTCATTTTGATGTGCATGAGGATTTCCCAAATTTCCATCAAAATTATCTGTGATAATGCTAACTGAGCATCTTTGTACACACAAGTTTAAGCATTTGCCCAAACTGGTTCTTTTGATATCTGACTCATAACGACATCAAGGAAGTCAGTGACCTAATTTTTTTAAGTATTAAGTAAAAGAATGGACAGAGAAGTGGGAGGAGGCAGAGGAGAGGACGTGATGAGCTCGTGTTCTGTGTTTAGCATGGACCGTGTTTAGTCTGTGAGTTAAGAGGAGGGCTGGAAAGCTGTCCAAGAGCATCATGTTGGGGAGCCCAACAAGGTTGCATATCAGGTCGTCTGTGGTTTAAACTTCTGTGATTCCCAAGTGGGGCGGCCTTGACGTGCAAGGACTTCCTCATCCAGCTTTGCTCTTCATTTGGTCCTGTCGGCCCTTGTACAAACGCATAAAGTTTTATAAATGGCTCACAGTCTTGACTTGATCAGGGTTGCAATGCAGTCAGCCTTGTGTGAGTGAGTAATCGTCATTCTTGGATCATCCAGCATCAAGCACTGAGGACTTGGGAGCAACATCAAGCAGGGTATATCTTGCCCTAATTCAGAACTGAAGCTGTCATCCCAACCCATCCGCTCAAGACAGCATAACTGGCTGCTGCCATCACTTCTGTGACCACTGCCCTGGCAAAACCAAATCTTGTTTCCTTCTCAAAAACATGCTATTGCCTGTAACTGGATACATAAAAATCTCTTTCTTTCTAAAAGGCATCCTTAGTGTCACTGTGGCTTTGTGTAGATAATCTCAGATGGAACTATGGTGTGGAACTTAATTTTTTGCCAGTATCTTTGGAAAGGAGCCCTATTCTAAATAATTCAGTAATTGTTTTCAGGGATACCTAAAGGATTGAAATAAATCCAGAACACACAGTACTGGTCCCAGCATGTAGAAGGCATTCAAGACCTGGTGATGTGGAGCTTCTTAGATTGAACCATATTTGATGGAGAATGTTCAGCTAGCTGTTTGTGGATTCTACTATCTCTTTTCCCATTCTCTTAATACTTACGCAACAGAAGGAATGTCCTTTGTTCTATTTTTTTCAAACTTTTCTTTAGCATTTATTGCAGGCATGACCTTATTTTAGGAAGCCAGAGTTTGAGAAACAACAACAACAACCAAAAAAAAAGCTGCAGATTTTATAAAATTTGCACCCTGTGGAAGCCAGGGCAGACACACGTGTTAATACTTGCTTTGTAGTCAGTGGGAGGCTTCAGGAATTCCAATCGTAAATATCCCTCGGCAGCCCTTATCTTGAAGCTTAGTTCTCAGTTTGGCACCCGTGGGAGGCGATGGGACCTTTAAGAGGAGGGGACTGATGGGAGGTTTTTTTCCTCATTGGGCAAACGACCTCTAAGGGGATTGTGGAACCCAAGTCCCTCTCTCACCCTCTTTCTTTCACTTTTTGGCCATGAGATGGGAGCTTTGCCAGTCGTGGTCTTACCACAGGCCCAGAGCAGTGAAGCCAACTGTGGACTGAAACTTCTAAAAACTATGAGCCAGCATAAACTTTTCTCTTGTTAGCATGTTGACTGTCTCAGGTATGTTTTAGAGGGACAGAAATCTGGCTGACAGATGGTCAGTTAGGGCAGCCGTTCGTATTCCCTGTGTTATAATAGGAAAAGTCTGCCGTCCCCCTGGCTTCCCTCGTTCCTCTCTCTTCTTCGCCAGATGTCTGCAGGCTGCTAGCTGCTCACCAGTTCCCACACTCTTTGCACTTTGCTCTTTTGCTGCACATACAACTGACCTATGTTTCCCTTGATTTTCCCCCATTTTCTGTGGCTAAGTTTGGGCCAGTTGCCTGGGAGCTGCTCCAGGCCTGCCGTTAAAACCCCCCACGCATGCATTCATGCGCCTCTTGTCCCTTTTCTGCTGGCCAAATGCTACTGGCCAGGGTTACTTGGAAGCCAGATGTTGAAGATGGCAAACATATCAACCTCGTCTATGAATGACTCCATTGAGTGATGAGCCTTTCTTCTTCCCCACATGCAACTGACTTGAATTCTTTGTGAATAAAAAGTTAGCTTTGCTTGTATTTGAGTCATTCTCATTTTGTTCTGTTTGTGAGAGCAATGAGCTGTTCTGATTTTATGAAGTTCTTACTGTGTTTTAGCTCTATGCTAGGTGATGCAGATCCATTGGTGGGCAAGGAAGACAAGAGCCCTGGGCCCTGCTTAGATCTTAATGAAGGAGAATAACAATTAATAATATGAACAGATAAACCAGAAATTCACATAGGGAGATAAATGCATAAAGGCTGGGCAGCTGACTGTGAACTGTGCTTTGAATCAAGTGTGGTCCTTGGATATTAAAGGAAGATGTAAAAAAATCAAAGAAACCTAGAAGAGCACCCCAGGATCCCCTTCTAAACCTGTTAGTAAGAAATGACAAGAAAATTCCAGACAACTCCAAGGTTCATGTTCTGATTAACCAAAGACGACCATTTACCTTGAGTCAGGATGTGTAGGCTTGGGAGAGTGTCCTTGTATTTTTTTAAAGATCACAAAGGCAGAGAGATTTGTGCTTAGTGGCCCCAAAGGGCATTGTATTGATTTTTGTCCCTTTTGATGCCTTTAATGATCAAAGGAAAAAATGTCCTTGAATAAGGGATTCTAAGGGGTTGCAGTGAAGTTTGGATGATCTCTTGTGAAGTGGGAGATATGAAGTGGTCATTCTTTTTTTCTTAACAGCCTTCAGAGTATGGTAAACAAGGAATTTGGTGATTTTTTTGCTAAAATTATAAACCTTACTATGTTACAGGTTAGAATCTTATTCCTGAATTTTTTTTTTGTATCTAAGACACAAAAACGTGCTTAAGTTGTCCTAAGCTAAAACTTTTTTATTATTATTAATAACAACCAGGGGATCCTAAGGCCAAGAATCTTCAGAGATAAATGAGAGAATGAACCAGAGACTGTGAAGCAGAGATGTGAAGAGAGAGCCATAACCATGATGCCAGACTGCACCACGGAGGCTTCCAGAAACCAAGCGACCACTCCCCCTCTCTCTGCATGTGACCAAACTCCACCTAATGCGGGCCATGTGAGGACCGCCTGAGAACGCAGGGCATCCGCACAAACACAGACATCACATTCCTGTGCCCGGAACTCACTCCTGGCCATGCACACTATGCAAAACATACTCTCTTGGCCCAACCTTACTAGGAGTGCCAGGGACCCTCTGTGCCATCACTCCTCCGCCCCAGAGGTTAGCCAAGGGGGCTGCATATACCTCATGCATCCAGAGGACAATTGGGGACCTTTTACAAGTCTCTTGTTCGTATGGAGAGCCAAGCCAAAGGTGCCCGTCAGTACTCCACAATGATGCCACCAGCCCTCTTCGCTATTTTGCAACTAAGCAAATGAGTGATGTGCTCCCCTAAAGTAAAACTAATGGAGGAGGAGAAAGAATTGAAGTTTTAAAATGCAGGAAGGAGGTAACAGTCCTCCATGGTGGCACCATTCACAGGATAACAAGTCCAGAAACGTACAGCAGAATAGTGGTTCCAGCATGAGCTCCGGATTTGAATCTCTCTTCTGCTGATCACTTAGTTTATGAATTGGGGCCAGTTACTTCTCTGCCTCAGTTTCTTCCTAATCATAACCACCTCCTAGGCTGAAATGAGAATTGTATGAGTTAACATTTATGAAATACTTAGTCTAGGAAGCTGACACACAGTGAGTACTTAGATAGATGCTGGTGAGCTGCAGGTTTACGGAGAGGCGGGAAGCCGATGAGGACAAATGAATTACAGGGCATCTGAGACGATTCTGGCAAGGAGGGATGCCATGGCCCTAAAACTGCTGTGGCTTCTGCCCCCTGGGGAGGCAATGCAAGTGCCTTTCTCCAGTATCATCCTTTGCCATTCGGAGAGGGACAAGGAAGATTTCTGATGTGTGGGTTGCCCTAAGTCATTATTTGTTCTGCTGACTGCACCGCCAGAGGCTAGAACTCCAAACCCTGTATGCTGTAATGCAAAATAAAGATTTGTTCTTTGTCTGTGGTTCCTGGCACAAGATCCTAAAGCCCTTGCTCTCCCTGGCAAAAGGCATGTCTTTGGTATTCCTAATGAGTTCCTTTCCACAGTACCTGAGTTTATGCTAATGTGGTGTGATTCAGGCCAATCCCTAGATAGCACTAGGAGGTGAGGTGGGCCAGTGGCCAGAAAGATTGAGCATTAGATTTGCAGTGTTAAGATTGGTCAGCCACCCGCTCCTAGAGCCTCTGGGAAGGAGACAGGGACTCGTTCAGCTCCATCATCAGTGGCCAGTTATTTGACCATTTATGCCTGGGTGATAAAACTGTAGTAAAACACTGTGAAACCAGGAGGCTGAGGGAGCCTCCAGGTTGGTGAGCACATGCGTGTGCTAAGAAGGGATAACACTTGGGGCGGGCGTGGCACATCGCCCGCTCTCATTGCTTATCCTAGGGATCTCTTCCATTTGACTGTTCTTGAGTTGTATCCTGAATGGTGAACTTTTAATTGTAAATAAAGTGTTTTCTTGTGTTCTGTGGGTCATTTTAGAGAATTACCAGAACTTGAGGGAGGAAAGTCATGGGAATGCCCAGGTGGTAGTCAGGGGCAAGGACGGGTGATCTGCCTGATACCCTCATTTGGGGCTGATGTCTACACCATAGGAGCGGGCTTGTGCAGCTCTTATCCTAGTGATCTGTAGGAACTCTGGGTAGTTCGTGCTGGGATTGCTGGACCCTGGTGGAGCCTGCAGTAACAGTAGTGTCAGAATTGAACTGAATTGTAGGACATATGAGCAGCCCTGGAGAGTTGGTGCTGGAATAATGGGCTGAGATTGTTGGAAACCACACAGTGTCTTATTTGAGGCCAGCCTAGAATTTGTCTCAGACTTGGGGTGTGGCATCTTTGCAGGTCACTTGGTAGACCCTATAGAGAGGCGTATATGGAACATGCAGACACAGTACTTTACTGGGATAACAATATATAATCATTTTGCTGAACCAATAAAGCGCCTTTGATCAGAAACCAGACTTGGGCCATATACTCTAACTTCTTAAAGATTTCCTCCACAGACATTCAAGATCAGATCGGCCTCTAATGACCCACGAATAAGAGGCGACTTTCACCTCCTATTCCCCGCGAGACGGGGTCCCCCCCAGAGAGCCACTTGGAATAATGGGCTGAGATTGTTGGAAACCACACAGTGTCTTATTTGAGGCCAGCCTAGAATTTATCTCAGACTTGGGGTGTGGCATCTTTGCAGGTCACTTGGTAGACCCTATAGAGAGGTGTATATGGAACATGCAGACACAGTACTTTACCCAGTTAATTTAGGCTTAAACATGTGTGTGATTTGTGCCCCTAATGATCTGTGCTCCCACACTATAAACACACAGTTCAGAAGCAGCACGGGGCTTAGAGATCATCTGAGGCCTCCTCTTCGTGAGGATGTCGAGAGTCCACAAGGTCATGTGACTCATTGGAGGCCACACATAACTTTCTAGCAAAGGAGTTCAATTTCAGGGCTCCTTCCTGGATTGATATCCTGCTTCTGCTGACTCTTGTGGCTTCAAAACACAGAAAGGCTTCCCTTCTTTGTTCTTTTAAATTCTAGACTCATTTTTAGAAAATTTCTTAGAATCATTATCCAGTGTCCTAGAAATATTTGACCTTCGAGCATAGTGCATGAAAGGGGGTTCGCGTGCCCTTTCAGGTGCCCCTTCCCAATTAGGCCATTCATGCACCGAGAGGTCCGGCAGGAGATCTTTATTGTAGGGAGGCGAGCAGGTAGTAGGAAGGCAGAGAGAGAGGAGGAAGAAGAAGCAGAAGGAGAGAGAGGAGCAAACAAAGGAAGGTCCTTTTATCAGTTTTGGGGTGGGCTATTGTTTATTTATGAGGAGTAAGTTACTTTTAACCTATCACAGGCCAGATTGCTTTTATGGGCCCAGTCCTGCAGACACAGGTTTCAACTTTCCTGGACCACTGTGGCCTTGGCGGGGAGGGAAACCAGAGATAAGGGCATGAGGTCATTTTAGGAGCCAAGATGTACCAGGAGAATGCAGCCTGTGAGGCGGCGTCACAGCATACTTTAACATGATCAATTCCCTAGCAGTGCAACCTCCTGAGGATCCAGATTTATGGTTTTTTTCCAAAGATTGAACAAAATTTTTTTTCAAATTTTTTTTTTTGCCCAGAAGTTTAAAAGACAGTGACAAGACACGTTGCCAACTAGGACTTAAAACAATGGCACTGGAGCTTTGACCCAGATTGCCAGACCCCAGAGTAAGTAGATTCTAACACTAAATTCAGTAAATACCTTGCATTTATATGTCAGTTGTCTTCAGTTTTAATTTATATTTTTTGTTTTCTTTGGGGTTACAGGCCTTTTTGGTCTGCACTTGAGCTATTGTCTTCAATAATTAATCTGGCTTTCTTTTTTTTTCAGCTTTAATTGAGTTTATTGGTACATTTTAGGGATACAGTACAGTTACATTCATTGTTGGGATCTTGTACCTCTACATGACAAGTCTTGATTCTCATTTTTTCCCCTTACCTCTGCCCTCCCTTCATCCCCTCCTCCCCTCCCCATCTACAAACACTTTATTTTCATCTTTTCATTCTCTCACATTTTTTTCTTTTCCCTTTTTACTCTTCCCCTACGCATCACACCTTCCCTACACCTTTAGCTCCTTTCTTCCTATTTCTAAATGTCAGTAATCTTATTAGAATCTTATGCATTGTTGCAGATTATTTACACCAGGGAAACTATTCGGTATTTACGCATGTGTGACTTATTTATTTCACTTAGGAGTATATCTTCAATATGTATCCATTTTCCTATGAATGAATCTATTTTCTTGTTCTTTATGGCTGAGTAATATTCCATTTTATAGAAAAACCACAACTTCTTTATCCAGTTTCCAACGGATGGGCAAATAGGCTGTTTCCAAGATTTAGCTATTACAAACTGTGCTGCTTTAGACATGGGTGCACATACTTCTCTGTGATATGATTCTTTTAGTTCTCTTGGAAAGATACCCAGCAGAGGGATGGCTGGGTCAAATGGAACCTCCAGTCCAAGCTCTTTGAGGTATCTCCGTACTGATTTCCATAGTGGTTGCACCAGTCTGCACTCCCACCAACAATGGAGAAGGGTTCCTTTCTCCCCACAACCCCGCCAACATTTGTTATTGTGTGATTTCTTGATAGCAGGCATTCTTTGCGGGGTGAGGTGGAATCTCAGTGTTGTTTTCATCTGCATCTCTCAAATGACCAGTGATGTGGAACATTTTTTCAAATATTTTCCTGCTGCTTTTACTTCTTTGTCTGAGAAATGTCTGTTCATTTTGGATGCCCATTTTTGAATTGGGTCTTTATATTTGGGGGGACTGTAAATACATTTTATTTTAAAGTGACTCCTTATGTAGAAGGATTAGGGTAACAATTATACATTAATACAGTTGCTGATGGAGATTTTGATATGAAATGGTCCTACCAGGTACACATTTATGACCATCATATGGGCTGTGGAAGCAGCAAGACGGAAATTGCAGTCGTGAATAGATTTTTTTAACAGGCTAGAAGATGACGTGATTGTCCATGTTTTGAAGCAGACTAAATGCCATTCACATGATGAAAGGATGGAAAATAAGACCTTAGAAAGAAATTGTAAAGGAAATGGGAATGTTTTACTTGGAGATTGGAAAAGCGCAGTTATTTAATAGGCATTTGAGAACATGCAGGACTGTTAACAACAGACGCACGCGATCATCAGGTTTCCGTTACTGTGATGAAGACAGAGCAGATAGAGTTTCAGCTGTGTTGGGAACTTGAAGAAGACACGTGGATACTCGTCTGACAGGGAGAGCTTTCCATAGCCCGATGGGTTTACAGAGCTGTCCGTCCACGTCGGATTGTGGAGTCCCATGTATGCAGATCACTGCACCCTTCACGGAGGAATTTCCCCTTTCTCCACTAGCACTTCTTAAAATGGGCCACAGCTCCCCCTTTCTCCCTGGGTTCTCTTAAGGCATAGGTAGTGGTAGGCGATTTCTCTAAGTAACTTCAGTCTTAGAGTTCCCATGCCAAAGGTAGAAAACAACTAACAGCAAGTAAGCTGACCTCTCGTTATTTGCCACGTTCATGGTGTGTGAAGTGCCTGGGGACGCTGAATTAGTGCATCCCGACCACCGCTTCCTTGGGAAGTGGAGGGTTCGGTTCCCACAAGTCATTTTCTTCCATCCGTCAATACAGACAATTATTTTGTGTGTGTTTCGGCTTAAAGACACTTGCAGTCATATGTGTCGATTCATTAACAGGACTCTCAATTCGTGCTAGAATGAAGTTTACCTGCCGTGCGTATTTTCTCTGCAAGGCACGGCACAAACTGCTTACCTTTAGGAGCCCTTAGACGGGTGTCAGCACTTGCCCTGGGCCATTTTTAAACAGTAAAATCGCCAGCGAAAGCACACAGATATATAAAGTGCAGCACTAGAAAGATCACAAGAAAGATACTTCTTTATGTTTCAAGAGCCAAAACAAGATGGGAGAGTGTCGCTTCGCTGGACCTCAGCTGTCACATGGGGTATCAGGACCTCGAAGTTGTAACCATTCACGGGGCTGAATGGCCAGGAAAGCCAGAAAAGCGGTTCTGCTTTTAGGGTCACAAACACATTTTAGCAAGTAGAAGAATCCACAGATATGGCATCCGTAAGTAATGAGGATCAACTGTACAGTGTATTTAGACTTCTTCTCAAAGAAGTTCTCATTTCAATTTAATATTAAAAACTCATCGTGCAGCTACTCAAGAACAAGGGAAGTCTCAGTAGGCTTGTGAACCCATTTAGATGCCTATTTCAACACCGTCAGGTTGCGGATGGCTTCATCTACACCCCTCTCCGGGCGCTCCATCCCCGTGACTCGTACCTCTTGCGGTCCCCTCCACATTTCCATCCGTGGGTCTCAGTCGGAATTCCA